ATAATTTGGCTCAATTTGAAATGACCTTTCTTTTTCTCTCTCTTTTTTTTTCGGAATTTCGGTAGAGTTTCGAAATTTCAAATACCTATATCTCAATCTTGATTTTTTTTTAATTTAATTTTCTTTCCTTATTCTAGAAGCCGGTCAACATACAAGCCGAAGCAAATAAATGCGCAAGTAGCACGTAAGATGCATCAAGATGGTCTTTTTAATTTCGATACACCTATCCTAGACGGACCCAACCCCTGTGTTGAGTCCCCAAAGTCTAATGCACGTGATGCAAATAAGCGTTCCTACTAGGGATCCGGCATGAGGCTATGTTATTCTAGGTTTAAAACCTGGGAGTATCGTTCTAGACGTGGCTTATCCGAGCGAACAACTCGAGTCTGGTTGGGGGGGCAGCGTACCGGGAATATAGAAGCTTCACCGGCTTTGCAACTTGTCCAAACCTCGTTCTAAAATTAGGATATGACTCTAACAGAAAAGAAGTCACGCGAAACGCACACTCCCCGGAAGATTTAGAAGGTTCAGAGAAAAGAAGGGTTTCATAACAATTTTATATACAGTTAAAACAATATCAAAAGCGGTAAAAAGGCGGCATTTAGCACATTAGGCTCAAACATATAAAAATCAGATAATAGATAAAATCCAACTATAACAATTATTCTAAGCTCGAATTCTGAATCCTGAACCAGAAGTTCTGGATTCTTTTCCCCAGCAGAGTCTTCAGAGCTGTCACACCTCCTTTTTCCCGAAGGGATAGGGAGTTTTTCCAATTAAAGTGACATTAATCGAAATGTGATTATTTATTTATTTTCAGAGTCGCCATTTGGGATAATTTATGGTGTAACAAGTCACCAATTTATTTAAAATCTCAAATCGAGGAAATTGACTCTATTTTTTGTCTGCGAACACAGAAGACCGAGTAAGGAATTATGTTAACCCAAGAGAAGATGTGAGGCACTCCCGAGTTCCGTGGTTTTAGCACGGTCGCTCAACTATTAATAGTTAGCCCAATATTCTGATTAATTACATGCTTTAAACCTATTGTGCTTTTTTAACTTTATTACCGCTTTTATTTATTCAACCTCTTTTCAGGATTTATGGAATTTATTTGAACGAGTCATGATGTCGTGCACTCGTTGTTTTTGTACATTTTGCGAATCGCGTCACATGAAATGCACCCGCGATTTACAACATGTTTATTTTAATATTATTCGAAGTTATGGTCGGGTCACATGAAATGCACACCCGAATTTGGATTTATGTATCGTAACTATGCCACAGGAACCGTACCCATAGTCACGTATTTATCATTAATCGCGCCTAAATCAAGTTACGGGTGTTCATGATATTCCTAAAACTAATTTGGATACATTCTTCTGACTTAGCATCACTCATGGCCTCTTCTTATTCCTTGCCAAGAAAGAAATAACTCCAATTTTCATCTATCCAATTTAACAACTCACTTATATCACCCATAGTATATTTAACAACTCAAATGAATTAATCTTTAAAACTAATATATAACCCAAATAATATGCAATCGGTACACAACTAATATGAAAGAGATTAAGTATTTTTCATAGAGCAAATGGAATCCACTATGAGCAAATAGAAACACTAATATATCAAAGCAAGTGTATACTTAAAATGTGAACAAATACCGAGAAAAAAGGATTCGAATGGACCTTTATATTGATGAATAAAGCTGAAAATTTGCAACTCAATCGGAATAACAAAGCAACAATCGTTGGACTAAAACACCGAAATTGCAAATCGGAACCTTAAATCCGCACCGGAATCAACCTCGGCGTGCGACTGAACAAAGACCTCCTCTGCCGTCCATTTTACCAATTTCAATGCTAACACTAAATCCAAACGATCGCTGTATCAAAATCAATGGACAATTGAAAACTTCCTTTTCTTCAGTTATAGCTTACGTGCTTTTGGAGCAGCTATGAGCGAGATTAGTGGAAAGTTTCTGTCCAATTTACATTTTCCGCATCTTTGTGTGTATGTTCTGTTCTTGATAATTAAAGAATGATAGAGGGTGTGCGGCTAGTTTTTTACTGAGGTTGGAGGAATTAGCTTCGGCTGCGGCTAAGAAGGAGATGTCAAGCTGCTCTCATTTTTTTTCCAGCTGTTTTTCTTTTTTGAGGTGTAGGAATTAGAAGATTAAAAGGTAAGGTAGGGTCCGGTTATAATTGGGTTTATATATGAGTGTAAGAATTGACATGAGCCATTGGATTGGGGGAATAGATGGTTAAGATTAAACCTTGCACTTAAATGGGCTAATGGGTTGGGAAGAATGGGTCTTTGTCTTGTTTGACTTAAATATGATGGGAAGACTAAAACAATGTAATATACTTATAAAAAAAATATAAAAACCACTCTTAATTAAGGGATTTTTTCCTAACTATTCCATATATGAAACCTTATTACCAAAAATGTGCATAATTTATTAATTACCCGCTCAGACCACACTTTAACTACAATTTATATACCAATCCATAATTAGGCAGATTCTGCCATTTAAAACACGCGGAAAAAAAAGGCACAAAATCTACGTTTGATTCTTTCCACATTAAATTCGAAATTTGAAACGGAAAGAGATCTGATTGCTGCGTAATTCTCTCTTTCACTACAATTCAAAACAACGCAGAGCTTCAGAAGCTTCAACAACGCAATACAAATTGTAGAATTCAAAATTGTTCTTCATCGTCCTCAGTACTCAAATTGTCGAACCTATATCTTTTCTTCATCTTTTTTCTCTCAACTACACGAAATCATGTCAAAAATCCCAATAATGCTAAAATTGAATGGGAATTGGGATAACTATGGCAGATTTAGAGATTTTGAAGTTGATGCCATTGTGGTAGATGAGAATGCAGGTTTGTGTAGTTCGAAAATGCTTAGAATTTTAGTTTTATGATATTATCTACAAATTTACTACATATATACAATTTGACTACAAGTTCTTTATTTGGTGCAGGAAAAAAATATTTTAATATACAGTGTCTCCAGATTGTAGATAAATTGTAGGCAAATTGTAGTTTACTTATAGTTTGTAGTTAATTTGTAGATAAATTGTAGATAAAATGTAGATATATTAAAGATACTATATTTTTAATATTGTAAATTTTTTTTCTTTGTGTTTGTTCTGAAAATGTATGTGAGGGCTTCAACAGAACATATACATACTGTGTTGGATGGTGTGAAGCGGTACATTGTGTGTCTAGAAAACAAGAAATGTAGTTGTGGCCAATTCCAACTTGAAGAACTTCCATGTGTAAATTGTTTCCAGAATGTAGTTATAATGTAGGTGAAATGTAGTTAATTTGTAGTTTTTGTAAAATTTTGTAGACAATTTGCAGATTAATTGTGGATAACACATTTCTACGATTGGAGTATTTATTTCTTATTTTTTGTTGTGTAATTTATATTCAACTGACAGTTATATACAAATATTACATAGAACTTGGAGGTAAACATCTAAAAATTATGATAAAAAGCTACAAAATTTATATACAATAACTACATTGAGTCTTCACACAATGTAGATAGTTTGAAGATTATTGGCAAGGGAGATTTACGTCAAGGATTAAGGCGAGAGAGATGCAAGCAGAAAATTGGCGAGGGGGAGGGAAGCTGGAGGCAAAGTCGGCGACGATCTGATCGAAGGGCCGATGATCCCCGGCTTTGAGCAACGTCAACATCGTGTTCGATTCTCCTTTTCCTAACATCCTCTTGTTTCTCTCTCACTGGTAGTGTTGATGTTTTTCATGATTTGGGAGAAAGATTACTTCAACTTGAATCAGATGGAACTTCAAATTGGGATTTTGTGAAATTAAATGGAGAAAAAATTGTAGAATCGTGCGTCTGTAGAGGACAACTGATGGTAAACGTGAGGTAGTGAAGGTAAAACGTGGGGGGTGTGGGGGTGGGAGGAGAGATAGGCGGGTAAAGGTAAATGTGAGAATATACGCTCCTAAATTAACGCCTAATATAAATAAAGCATTAATTATACCCCTAATTTGATTTATGGTATATAAATGGTAATTTTGGTATGCTGAAATGTAATTAACACAAACCTTAAACATTGAGGGTAATAAGGTTTCATATATGGTATAGGAAGGTAAAAATCCCCTTAATTAATCACAATAAACTACTAAAATAAAACTAAATATAAAAGTTGAAACTATATATATTTTTTTTTGTATTTACTTTTAATTTTTAAATACTAAAACAATAAAGTTAAACTAACAAAGTGGTAATAAAAAATAAATTAAAAATCTATAATAACTCAAGTAAATATTTAAAATACTACAACAAACTTAAAAATTGTGTGGGCCAAAAGTTACCTGCTTACAAACACAAGTTAAATACTTCCACCCTTCTACTCAAAACCCTGCGATTGCTTTGAGATGGAAAGGGTACTTTTGACATTTCCACAGTTCTAAAATGTTAATATTATACTTAGAAACTTAATTAGTTAAATGAATTTTTTTCGCACTTCATGCTTACATTCTTTCATTTAATTGCTCGATCAAGTTGAAAAATGTGAATAGCAAGTAATTCTGATGCTTGTAAAGAAAATATTAAAAAGGACGAGTCACTCAAGGGTCGCAGACACACCTGCACGGATTACAGACGACAAGTTAGAAGAAAGGCAGAGGAGCTAACAATACCCGACAGACAGGGACGGATAATTGTATTGATAATGTCAGAGTCGAGTCAGTCGACTTCAACATTTTCTTAAAGTGAACATGATTTTGAGACGACTCAATACATTCATGTCAAAATCAAGAAAACATAAAATACTATGACACTAGTATAAGAGTGACTCTTCGTTGGCTGAATAAACCACCTGGATCACACACACACTCTCTCTCTCTCTCTCTCTCTCTCTCTCTTTCATTGTATCAGCTCTAGTTCACATATCCCAGACGGGAAAAAAAAATTGTAACCATTTCTGGAACATAAGTCTTGACAAAGTTAAACTTGAGCTTCTGTAGAAACAATGGTTACCGATCATTTGTTGGTTTAATCTATTTAGTTCTACATACACACACTAGGTACATTAACTGGAAACTCATGACATATTACATCTCGTTTCTCCATAGAAATGATCAACGAAAAGTTAGCTCTGCAACACCTAAAAACTGTTACAGTCGTCCTTGCTAAGCACAACACTGAGCCTAATTAAGTTATGAAGAAAGAAATATTACAAATTTCAGCAGCCAATTGGTTATTGGTTATCTGGGGAAAAAAATTGGTTATCATTTATCATTAAAAGTGCATCTTGGGAGAGAGAGAGAGAGGGAGGGGGGGGGAGGGGAGGGGGAGGGGGGGGGAGGATATACATCACAATGCAGTATGCAATTCAACTGGTTCCACTATTCTGGACTTCCTTCTTTTCTTGCTCTCGGGCGTGCACCTAGTCCCACTAACATTTCCAAACTTCACCGCAAATCTGCAAGCTGAACTGGGTGCTGAAGGCGACAAACCAAGAGGTGCTTGGTTTTCTTTACCTTTGTTCTTTCGCTTTCCAATGTTCCGACTGGAAGTGGAAGAGTTTGCTCTCTCTTTCGGAGACTGAAGCTGCATCTTCGCCCTATTATCACGCCTAAGGAGTCGAAGATAGAAGGGATTCACAGCTGTATAACACGTGAACTCGTTTGTTCTACCCTTTTCCAAATCAACATCACCATTATTTACCTGCAAGATTTTATTCAGTAAACAAGAACATAAAAGGATAAGACTGCCCGTAGAAGCCACTGGCGAAAAAGATAACTGTATGTTCTTTTATCTAGTTTAAGCTACAGCTGAATCAAAGTTGTAATTCCTCGACAAGGGATAATACCAATTGCAGAAGTGCAGAAAATGTTCGAGCAACATCATGCATCTTTTGGCCCATGACAACATCAGAAAAAGACATCAAGTTTGTACTATTCCCTTCAAGGGATAACTTGCCCAAAACCCGAGCCCCATATTCAGCAATATCAAAGGGTGGATGTGAGTCCTGTATGCAAACAATGGAGCATTAAGAATCTTAACTCAACAGAGAACATAAGAATAAGTACTGTTGGACTACATACTTGTTCCTCCAAGTTCTGCTCGATTCTCTGCCTCCATGTTGAAACTCGAGCAGCCAGTTCACTCTGCTTTTCAGTTTCAGCAAGGTTATCTAGAAGAGCATCCTAGACAAAACATTAGGTTAACAAAATGATCAGTCAAGACCAAAAAAAGATCCAAATAAGTAGCAAATAACATTTTTGTGAATTTTTGGGAAACTAATAAGCCATTGCAGTCGAAGGACAAAAGCACGAAAATGTGTCAAGGTCTAAAGCAACTTTAAGTGCAATTTCAGAGCAAAATTCTTTCCTAATAAAGGACCAAAGGAAAAAGATACTCCCTCCATTGATACATCATTGTTAGTCTGTGGAATTTTAAGTGCGAATTCAGAGCGCACGCTTTCCTAAAGAACGAGCAAACATGAAATGTATGCCTCCATTGATACTTCATTTTTAGTATGTTCTAAAACTAGACACGTTTCAATATTTGGGAGCTCTTTAATCTTTACATTTGCCCTGAATGAAATGCTCCAATGGTTTCTTTTATTTCCCAGAAAAAAATCATCTAATGGAATGACATGACATGTTGAAAACCACTAGAGATATTTTTGGTCTGTTATATTTTTAGCTTATGAGCTCTCCTTTATAAATTTCTATTTCGAATCAAAAACCGTCAGAACAGATAAATTAGACGAAGCAAACATATATATGTAATGCAGGAAAACAAGGTATAAAATGCAAACAGCAATTATATGGACAATGAATTGAAAGAACTTGCAATTAGGTGAATTATGCATACTAAAAACCACACAAAAAAAAATTCAAAATCCCTTTTAAAGTTTCTTATTTAGATGCATGTTTAGTACTCCCTTCTGTCCCAATTTTTGTGCACACTTTCCTTTATAGCCTGTCCCAAAAAGGACATCACCTTTCTATATTTAGAAATAATTTGAATTTAAAATTCCCTTTTTACCGTTAATTGAGATAATTTAAAGCCACACAAATGCCTAACCTTGTTTTGGACCACATAAACTAGGACGGAGTGAATAATCACTTTTCTTATATTAAACGTCTAATTTCGTAATCTTCATAACTAACTTGTTCATCCATAAAGATTTCTTTTAACAAATTAGCATATAGCTTTGCCAGCTATATTTCCTTGTCTAGTGGTACCCTTCTCAAGATAAAGTTCTTGGACAAGGCAGACGCCTTAATGTCTTTGGTGCTAGCATAGTTGCATTAAAGTACCACATAAGCGAGACGAAACACCCCCGTTACATTGCTAGATTCAAGGCTTAAACAACGCCTTCAACAACACCATGATAAGATGTTTAGAGGCCATGTTAGTGAAATCGCCATCTTGTCCGATTTTGGATTGAAAAGATAGTGCAAGTTTATAAGCATGAACAAAACCTCATAGATGCATGGACCTACCGTGAGGCAGTGCGACGAGTTGTAGTTTTTTTTTGTGTGTGTGTATACAAGTCAAGATTAGGTAAGACTGATTTGAGGCTTCTATGGCAGTTCGGGCCCGGCCTCGATAGGATCAAGGCACAGTCCAAGGCCCGTTTAGGAAGCACTCGCCTCGGCAGGGTACGTCGAAGACTCACCATGGTGTCCCTCGAGGCCGTATGAAAATCGACGACCGTTATGGAAAGGCGGGAAACCCCCCGAGGGCACGCGATGAGGACTGACGGACTCTGCAAGAATAGTACAAATTGGTACTGAGCCGTTATACAGTTGTACTAGTAGCATTTCTTCGTCATTTATTAGACATGTACTGTGTTGGGATTCACGCCTCCTATATAAAGGGGGCCCTTGTCATTTTGTAATAGAACATATTGAGTAATATACAACATTCTCTGCTCACTTTGCTAACACAATTGTTCTATACATTTATCGCTTATTCTTTCATTGTTCATTCATTGCTCATTATTTAACCGTAAAAGGCCATCTTTGAGGTCATCATTATCATTGATTCTTTATCAATAGTTCACCCTATTAGCCTCATCTAGACCTCGAGGCCCTGCCCCAGCCATCTCGAGGCCAAGCATTGTGACCCTATTGGTTTGCATATCTTATTCTCTTTACTTAAACTCAGACATCTATTGCCTAACAACTAGTATTAAGATAAATCACGTATTTTTAGAACCACAAAATCAAATATAATTGTAAATACCATTTTCAAGCTAAACAGTTTGGCGCCCACCGTGGGGCTAAAAATAATAGTGATTGTTTTGGTGCTAGTTTTCTGAAAACACAAGTTATTCTTCACACTTTTTCTTGTCGAAGAATCTCTGATTTCAGGTCAAAATGTCTAACTCAGCAAATGCACGCGAAAACAACGGTATTGGGCTTCAGGGAGAAAACGGTGCAGACGTTGGTGTACCACCGCAAAACCTAAAGGTAGCACCAGCAGATGCCGGTGTACCACCGTAAAACCCAGGGGAGGCACCAGCGCAGATCCCCATCGACGTGACTTCACAGAACGTTGTGCATGTTGACGTAAGCTCTCCTACCGACGAAAGTGTGCGCGGTGAGGAAAGAGACGTTAGTCTTCAAGTCATTTTTGAAATGTTGCAAGCACAACAAGTAGCTATTACTCAGCTACAAAGTCACCAAAAACTCCTAGTACAGTAGCACCGGAAACGGCTCCTCGAGCCAAGAAGGCACCGGAGATATTGAGTAACAACGGGTCAGCAACAGACCCCGCTATTATGAAGATGTTCGAGGACCTCACCAAAAGAATATAATCAGGAGAAAAGAAGATAGAGGATAACGATAAAAAGGTGGAAACTTATAACTCGAGGGTCGATCAGATCCCGTGCGCACCTTCGATCCTGAAGGGCGTAGATTCAAAGAAGTTCATACAGAAACCATTCCCACAAAGCGCGGCTCCGAAGCCCATCCCGAGGAAATTTAGAATGCCCGATGTCCCGAAGTATAACGGGACCATGGACCCCAACGAGCATGTTACCGCTTACACTTGTGTTGTAAAAGGGAATGACTTAAAGGACGACGAGATCGAATTTATATAAAGACTAAACGCGGCTCGGAGATGTCCAAACATAAAGACTACGGTCGAACTTAAAGTCTACGGCCGAATTAACGCGGCTCGGAGACGTCCGACTGCCGCCATAAAACTAAAGGCCTCCAAATACTTCGAAAGTACTTCGAAAAGAATCGATTAATAAAGCTACCCTCGGCATAAGAAAAGGACTTCGATAATATTAGCTATGAACAATAAAAAGGCTTCGAAAACAATCAGCCTTCGATGGAAAGGTTTTGAAAACTCAACCTTCAAGCGAACCTCCCGGGGTGTGCAGCTATCGTCACATATCCACTCATAATCGAGGTTCTTGTTTGAGTTGTCGAAGAGTCAAACAAACGCAAAACATAAGGGCCAGCCTAAAAGAGCCTAAGGGCCGATGCGTAAGAACCTAAGGGCCAGCCTAAAGAGCCTAAGGGCCAATATGTTGAAAACCTAAGGGTCGATGAGCCTGAGTCAAAACTTGATTCGAGTACCAAGCCCTTAACAGTCAATTATTATCAGTTGTTCATCAAACACAACCTAAGGATTCTCATCCAAAAAAGTCCAACGCATCGGACTAATTGTCAATAGGCATCAAAACTCAAACCATAAACAAAACACAAACAAGTGAGAATTTATATAAAGAAAAACCGAAGGGTTCCTTTCTTTAATTATAAATAATGATACAAAGATACATTTGCAACACTCCCACGGGGAGCCCGATACAAAGAACGAGAAAGAAAAGCCTAATCTATCCTCGGGAACTTAGCCTTTCCCCTCGGGGACTATGTCTCAATCGGCTCCCTCGGGACCAGCTCCCTCACCGGCCTCCTCCTCGTTGTCTTCAGCATCGAAAACAAGGAACTTGGCGTCAAACTCATCCGCTTTGGCGTGTCCTATCTCCTCCGAGAGATCGAAGCCCTTATCGTGAATCTCCTCGAGAGTTTCCCTCCGGGATCTACATCGGACATATTCATCGCTCCTCCTCTCTCGATCAAAAGCCCCCGTCAACTTCGTACGAGCTTCACCAGCATCCTTTAGATAGATGGCCACCTTCTTATCGGCCTTTGCTCGAACCTCTTTGGCTTCTGCTCGAGCATCCACAACCTCGGCCTTCATCTTCAAAAGATCAGTCTCAAGCTTAGCAATCCTACTTGTCTAAACCAAATTGCTTTCTTGAGTATTACGAAGTTGTATCTCAAAGGCGGAGGCCTTATCCAAAGCATTCCTTTTGGCCGTAACATGAGCATCTATCTGTGCCCTCAATTCGTTGCATTCAGAATTAGCCTGGTTGGCTTCGCCCCGAAGGCGTTCCAACGTCTTAGCCTTTTCCTGCAACTGAGATATCGAAACATTAGTTTCCGAAGAAGGGGGAAGAAACTTGTATTCCTCCAAAATATGGGTTACCTGTTTCTCGAGCTTGCCTTCATAATCACAACATCGGTTCAACTCGTATCGAAGATGTATCAGCTATCTTGCCTTCTTGTCGCAAAAAAGCCTGAGAGATTTCTCCCTATTCAAGGCTTTACGCAACTTTGCCTCACAGCGAAGCAGCTCAGACTTGAGCTTATCAAATGCCTATGAGAAAGAAGGTTCGGCCAAAAATAAGAAAGCGCGAAGTTGGAAAAGCAATAATAAACTCAAAACGCACCATAAAGCAGAGTCGCTGAGCTTCCTCGAAGGTCGATTTCGCATCTACCAGCTCGGTCTCATTGGCCCCGATAGAGCAACCCGAGGCGCCCTATCCGGGCGGGGACACGACAAAGTCCATTTCCCTTGGAGTACTTCTCGTCGTCCGAGAACCAGCTGCCAAATCAGGTAATGAAGGACCTTCACCCCTCCTCTCTTGTGGAATCTCTCCCTCGAGATTAGGGGCCCCGAGCCTAGCAGGTTCAACAATCTCGGGAGGCCTCCTGGTTCGAGCCGTCAATATAGAATCATCCTCTCCAGATACGCTGATGTCCTCAGAGCTACCAATAAAGATGAGATCTTCGTCAGCGGCAACGCCCTCCTCATGCCCCCGAGCGAATCCTGCCTTGCTATGAGAATCCTCGTCCTCCGAGGATCTTTTTCTCTTATTATCCTTCCTTGATTCAGAAGTCGAAGGTCCTAC